TGGGGATGGATTGGGGCTGGGTTAAGGGTAGAGGAGCAGAGTGCAGCTGGGGATGGATCTGGGGATGGATTGGGGCTTCGCTGTGCCCATTGCCGTGCCCATCGCTGCCCCTGGGCAGCCCCTGCCCTTGGAGCTGCGTCCCCTCCCAGCTCAGGTGGCATTAGGACGGGCTGTTAAGTGCGTTATCCTCAGCCCATAGATCCAATCGCCCAAGCAGATTACCGTTAAGACCTCGGGACAAAAGAAAGGCTATGTGCCCCGAGCGCGCACTGCTGACAATGTTGCCCCTGAAGACCCTCCTGGCTCTGACCATCGTCACCTCCCTGGCGCGGGATGGTAAGTGACTGCGGCTGCCGTCCCTGTAGGAGAGTGTGAGGAGGGGAGGAACAGTCCCTGCTCCGGTGCAGGACCGAGGAGCAACCAGCGCTGCTCCCCGCCTGCCGGCAATGGGTGCGCGGTGCCAGCAGGCTGAAGCGCGGGGGGAAGCCGGGGATGCACTCAGCTCGCTCTGATGTTGGGATCGTCGCACCGAGGAGGTGATGAAATAAACGCAGCCGCCGTTGTAGAGCAGGGAAGTGAGAGGTGTGCGGGTCCGTTTCCCTCACGCGTGGGGTTGTTTGTTTTTTTCCTGTCCACGAAAGGAGGCAGCAATTCGTGCTCCGCGCTGCACAACGCGCTGAGCGGGCGCTGCGTGCCGCGAGATGGCTCTGCTCGTTCAGCAAAACGGGCGGACGTTTTCCTCCCGAAATAACCATTAATTCAACCATCGCTGTAAAAACCAAGCGGTCCTGATGGCCCGGCTCGGGTGAGAGCGGCTCTTCGGGGCTTTTCGGAGTTGCTCTGTCCGCATGTATTCAAAGCAGCGTTGTTATTTCAGGGCTCTCACTATCAGACAGAGACAGCGGCGCTTTCACATTTGCTCAGGCAGTTCCTGAGCTTAGTGGGACCTCCGCAGCCGCGCAGGGTCGGAGTTCCTCCACCCGCACAGAGCCCGCGTTCGTTGCGAGCTCCTCTGGGTGGCACAGCTGTGACATTCCCACCCATCACCCCTTTGCCAGCGCCGTGCAGTGCCCCTGAACTGTGCCGATGGGCGCAGTTCCGTGCGGGGGAAGCAGCCTGCGTGGCACAGCGTGCACTGAAACCTCTCCTGCGATGCAGACGAACCCCGCCTCCACTCATTACAATTAAAATCGGCGCAAAAAAGACGAAGGTTGAAGGTTTTACGCCTCTTTGAGCAGCGCCTGGGAAAGCGCTGCACCCCCGTGGTGCCGGCAGCGCGCAGCAGGCGGAGGCTCAGCGCCGCCTCACCGCTCCTCCCCTTGCGCAGGTGCAGCGCTGAGATGCCACAAATGCGTCGCATCCAACGAGAACGACTGCAACAAGCAGGGCTCGCACAGCTGCCCTCAGTACGCGGACGCCTGCTCCACCATCACTGCGCCCAGTAAGTCCGTGCCAGGGCTGCAAAGCTGCCACCACATCCTGCTGCAGTTCGGTTTTAGCGCAGGAGGGGTTGCGTGTGCTCTTAACCTTGTGTGCTCTGCCTTCCTTTGCAGACAGCATCATCAAGTCCTGCTCCTACAAGTCCTTTTGTGACCAGGCACGGCGCAGCTCCGGGGGAGCCACCCTGCACTGCTGCTTTGGTGATGACTGCAATGGGCCACGGGGCTCACGCAGCTCTGGGGCAGCCACGATGCCACTGCTGCCCTGCCTGCTGGCTGCAGGGCTGGCAGGGACGCTGCTGCTAGGTGTGCTGTGATGGGCACAGCACGGCCAGGGGGTGGCACGGCCATGGGGGTGGCACAGCATAGCATCTCTGTGCAGTAGTGCAAGCCTTGCTCACCAGGAGCACGGCTCGTAGAGTCGCTCAAATAAAGGCTGAAGCTGAAAGCCACGTTCCTTGCCACTGCTTTTCATTTACAAGGAAAGCCATCAACCAGAGAGAACGGCCCCAGGCAAAGCTATGGTGCTTCCCGAGGCTCTGATTTGAATGTGTGCTCATCAGAGCGTGGCTGCCGTGGGAAGGCTGCGTCAGTGCAGCGCATGGCAGCCCTGGGCCCCACTCCCAGCACTCTGCCATGACCCCACACCTCAGGGCTGTGCTGGGGCCGCTCGCAATTTTGTCCTGTAGACAGACCGTGGATGTGCTGGGTGTGAAATGTGGGCCGATTCTGTGCAACTGTTTGCATTGCTTGAACAGAAGAAAGCATCCCAGGTTACCCCTGGCAGCACCTGTCCCCATGCTGACCCTGGGACACGGCTGGGTGAGCCACTCTCAGGGAGATTAAAGATCTTTCTGGTGACTAATCCACGCTCTGGATGTCACCACCACCTCCAGGAGATCTTGCTTTTCCTCTTTCCACCACGCTTTCTCTTTGAACCCCTAATGATTAGGTGTGTCCAGCAAGTGCTGCAGTAAGGACCTGCCAGGTTGTGGCTATCAGGAGCTTTCCTCGTGTAGCCTGACCCCCATCTTGGGATGCTCTGATGCAGGTGAGACAGCCAGGAGCACAGAGAGGGCAATGAGAACCCGGCTACAAGAAGTGTTTGCAGGGTGAGACAGCAAAGTGCTGACTGAGAGCACTGCTGTGTGCTGGGAGTTCCCCTGAGTGAGAGCACAAGAAAAAAAAGGGAACGGGTACTGAAACAAACAACAACAACAAAAAAAAAGGGCAAGTTCAAACAGAAGAAAAGAAATAATTTGTTGTATGCAGATTTAGCTGTGGAACTCAATATTGCAGGATGTTACTGGGACGACTGGGTGAGTTTTGCAGGATAAGTGGGTTGGAAGTCATGGAGAGCAGGAATGTTGGGTCCCGTGTGGGTCAGTGCTTGCAGAGGGATGCAGTCTGGCTGCGGGGTGTCAGCAGATATCTGGGCTGTGTGGTGATGGGGCCTCCAGGCTCTGATGGCCCTGCTGCTATCAGGGGTTTCCTGTAAGGTCAGGCATTGCTCGTACCCCCAGGCAGGATGCAGCAGTGAAAATCATCAAGAGCAATGAAGACTCTTTAAATAAAGGAAGAGCCCCAGTGTGACCAACTGCCGTGTGACTGTGCCCATAGAAAATTGAGCTGCCTCAAATCCAGTGAGTCACAAGGTCAGCAAGAGGTGCCCCTGTGCAAAAATACCCTACGGAACAGTTTAGTCCTTATGGAGCAGGCAGGAATGGGGGGGAGCTGCAGGGAGAAGTGCCGTCCCCCATCCCATGAAGTTGAAATGGAAAAGGGCCATCTGGGTGTTCCAGGCTGTAACCACGGCCCTGCTGGCAGCAGATGTGCAGGGAGGTCACAGTTCTTTGCTCCTGATGTAATGAGTGATGAGTTCAGGGCTGCAGCTCCCAGCAGGGCGGGTGGCTGGACTTAAACATGGGAGAAGCCCCAGGTAGCAGCAGGGAGGGGGAGCTGTGTGATGCACATGGCTTTGGAGATAAGGGTGGGAGAGCAGCTCAGTGGAAGAATTCTTGAAGAAACAGCTCCTTAAAGAACCAGGGGAGCACCACTGCCTGTGTGAGCAATGCACCCCATGCACTGCACCACTGTCAGTTTCAGCACACAGGGAGAAAGTGCTCACACACGGTCAGAGAAAGCGAGGCTTCCTGCATGCAATCTGTCTGCAGCTGGAGCCCTGCTGTCCTGAGCACGCAGCAGGTTGCAGCTCTCCTGAACCGTGCATTGCAGGAGCTGGAACTCGAGCCGAGCAGCTCATCTCTGCCCAAGGCTGTGCTTAAAGCCCAGCACCTCTGAGCTCTGTGCTGCAGCCATGGGTTCCGGGCAGCACTGCGTTGTGATGCTGTGGTTTAACCCTCTCCTGAGGGCAGACACACAGAAATGAGCACACACGGTTTCAGTAACAGCATTTGGGCAACCTTCTGTAACATGGCAAGGGGGGGGGGAAACCCTTTGTTCTAAATGTGACCTTGGACATAGGAAGTGCTTGGGGGTGAGGCAATGTGTTGACTTAAAAACACTTCACAAAACAATTGTATAAGTACACGGGGAGGTGGGATTTGAATGCCTAGCACTGCATCCTCAGACTAATCTTGCCTTAAAATGTGTGAAGACAACCCCTCCCCCAGATGCACCAGCAGTGAGGTGCACGGAGCTGCAGGCTGGGGCTGCGTGCTGCCCAGAACAAGGCTGGCTGTGCCCTACGGGGTTCTGCAGACCCTCCCTGGGGGTGCTTTGTGTTAACTCCCGATCCTGGCGCCCCCCTTTCAGCTGTGCTGAGCCTCTCCCTGCTACGTGCACAAAGCAGAATCTGGGGGCACCTCCAGACTGCTGAGAAAACGTGTGAGCAGACCCGAACGTGCCTCGCTGGGCTGACAGGACCCGGATCTAAAGAGAAA